GGAGGTGTTGTGCTGTAAAGTGAGAGAGAGAGAGAGAGAGGATGAAAAGTGAAATGAGACATGGATGAGGAACAAAGCCAGGAACACCTCTTTCTCTTGATGCCTCCTTCCTTCTTATCACTCTATCCCACTCTTTCTCTCCTTCCCTCTTTCCCGTCTCTGTCTCTCACCATCTTAAAGCTCCTTCCCCCTGCCTCCGAGCAGCTGCCACTTCTGAGCCTGAAGAAAATGAAGGCAGATGAATCAATTTGGCCTGTGGCCCTAAAGTGCACTTGTCTGCACCCCAGCCTGGGCGGGGGGGATAATGAGCCGATAGATTGAACCGGTGCCGGAGCCAGGCACTGAGCGCCGAGATGCCTTCGTCCGCCGCACCCCCGGGCCCCTCTCACATATATACACACACATACATACACACGTTGCTGATGCCTCCCAGAGCAGCGGTAGCAGCCTGTCGCTGGGTTAATGGGGGTGAGGGTCCTTTGCGCAGGACACTTTTCAGAGCAAATTAGAGGAAGGATCTGTATCCATCCTCTTCAGCCCTCCCTTCCCTGTATTGCCCCTCATATCCTTCCCACCCTGCGCATGGGAAGCACGGAGAGCAAATTGGAGCGTGGTAGTGCGCAGCAGAAGAGCATCAAGGCAGCTAGAATGGAAAGGGCGGGTGGGGGGCAAGGTCCAAGATCCTAGGGTAATGAGGATTGACACTGGGACAAGGCTGAGGCACAGCCTCCCTGAGCGCTGTTGACAGGTGACGGCAGGCTAGCGAGAGACGAGGCAGAGTGAGAGGAACTGGAGCAAGGAGAAGAAAAGCGAGGTCAGGACTAACAGCTTCTCTTATTCAAGGAGGAAAAAGGTAGGAGAGTGTGCAGCCATCCGATGCCCCCGCTAAAACCCCCTGCAAGGTGAAGGAGGGAGGATCAAAGGAGCAGGACAACAAAGCATCACCCGCCAGCCTCTAGCTAGCTCCCTGCTGACAGGCTACAGATTGACTGACACTGCAAGGAGAGTGAAGAAGAGTGAAAGGAAAAGGAAAGTTAGCCAAGCCTAGCATGAACTGATGTGAACCACTACTGTCTCCATCGATGCCTTGACTAGCCCTTTCTAAGCAGGGGGGCTTTGTGACTTCACCCAGGGTTAGAGTAGTATAAATGAGCAGACCCAAGTCGGCACTACTCAACTTGGGGGGAAATTAAGATGCTGGAGGGCCCTTTGAAGATAATTAAAGAGCACAGAGCGGCAGCCTCCAGAGAGGGACTACAGACATGTTCAATACCGAGACTAATGGAGCTAATTTCTAGTACATTATTCATGTAAAACACAGGCCCTTACTTAGCTGTTTTTTCTACGTCTCTTCTATCTATCGTCTTAAGTCATACTCTCCCCCGGACACACACAGATTAACCACATTTACTTGCTGCATCAACCAAATTAACCTTGCCCCAATACTGCATCAGTCAAACCCTCAACGCAAATGAACTTCGCAAAAACAAAAAATCACAAATGTAACTCCTTAAAACAACCAGGTGGCCAGCAACTGCTCCCTCAAGGCTGCCCAGGACGCATTATTCAAAGGCATTACCTCAAGCATAGTGGAAAGGCATTACGACCTTGAACTGTGTCACCACTTACAGCTGATCACATCTCAGTGGAGACCATTAGCCCCACCCCCAAGCTCACTAACTTGTCCTTTAACATTAATGAGTACACAAAAAAGAAAAACAACACATGAAAGCTGTACAGTTGGGAGCTTAGGGCCAATTAAACACCTCCCCAGACAGGAAATTAGTCCCTGCCTTAATCACAGGCAGTCTGGGTTGCCAGTCTTTTGTCAGAGTTGGTGAATTCCTGCCTAGATCAATTGCTCTCCTGTCCCGTTGAACAGTGGCTTGGGGAACGGTCCTTGCACGCTGCTTCATTAACCTAGGCGGCTAATTAGACACTGTGCTCTGATCAATAGCCAAGTTGATTGCTGACTGGGTAATGTAGCCGCTGGCCCCAGATGAGACGGAAACACTTTGGGCGCCTTCAGGAATTTGTCAGCAACACTGATGCTGGGTAAACAAAGTAATCAACGTCTGCACTTGACGGCATCGTGACGCCGACTGTACCTTGACGCTCTGTCTCCCTGCTTGCATGCCTGCCTGCCTGCCAACAAGGATTGCTCTCTTTGTGCTCTCCTTGAGAGAAGGAAATCAAAAAGGCCACCATCTATTTTGAGATTCAAGGAGTGATTAGGCTGACAGCTAGTCGAGAGCGAGCGAGAGAGGCAGAGGGAGAGGCGGGTAGAGGTGGAAGTCAAACCTGATTATGCCCACCTGCAGGTTTCCCTTCCTTCCATCTCGACACCCTGATTGCTTGGCGGCTGCTCCCTCCTCTTTTCCAGCACACTCACCCCACCCCACCCCCGTCCTGTCACTGTTGACCTCAGTGCACTGCTAATGCCCCTTGGCCAATCAGCATGCTTGGCCTTGCGGCGGCAGGGTAATTAAAAGGGAATTGTGTCTACTTGGCATGTGAGCTGGTGGGCACGAGGGTAGACAAACACTCTCTCTGCCGCCTTGCCTCCCTTCCTCTCTCCCAGCCAGGTGGCAGCGTACAGGACCTGTCAGATTAGCTGATGACCCTTTTAATTCTAGCCCAGCCGGGGGCCATAATTGATATTTACCGGGAAAGGTTAATTGTAGCAGTGATCTGCTTAAATTACAGTGGAGATCAGGAGAACGGGGCCAGCCAGCACGCACGCTACCAGGGGAGCTGCTACACGCAAACTGCTAGTCAAATGGATTACACCCCGCGGCCATCGCCACTGTACTCCAAGGTGGGGTAGCAGCACGGGACATTGTGATTGGCTGTTGCTCCACCGGCACAGAGTCTTCCTTGCTGAGCTCGCCAACCTCCCATCTGGCTGGGAATTTGGGTGAATGCCAACTGCGGGTCTTGATGGCCCTGCAATAAAATAGGCCATCCATGTTTGCATTAGGGTTACCATGATGTGTATTGTGAGTGGCTGAATGCAAAAAAAGTAAAAAATAATAATATTTTGTGATATTTTATTTATTTTATTTAGTTTTTGTTAATTTTACCATTTTCAAAATCAGAAAACAGCAGGAATAAATTGAAAATGTATTTCATTTTATCTAAAATGTATAATATTATTTAGCGTTGTCTTCTCATATTTTTTCTCATTTACTCAAGGAGTTGTTGTTGGCCTTGCAAAGTTAGCAAATTAATGTCCCTGAGCTGTGAGGAATTGGAGTAGATGTAGATTTAAGACAATACTCAGCAATGGGTCAAAACATTCTATATTTTATACTGTATGTAGGCCAAGGCTAAGGTAAGCACAATATGCAGCTTTTTAACTACTGTTGCCTACTTGATGTTTGAGACTCAAGAGAGTGTATGTTGTGTATGTATGTGTTGAGTGTATTTCAACACGTCTACAAACAATGTAGGGTTTACTACATTGTTGCTGCTGCGTTCATGTTGCTTGCTGGTCTAACTGGCACCAGTGGGTCGAGGTTTGGGGTTACAGGTGTTTTTGCTACAGCCAGTTCTGCTTTGCATTTAGCCAAAGCACAAACTGACACTGAGCTGTGAGACACCTCACAAGCTTTGAATTTCCCTCAGGTTAAGAATAGAAGGGCCATGGCCTGTTGAAAGTCAGTTGAAGCCATTGTAGTTAGGCTGTATTGTTAGCTACCTAACTTGTGGCGTTGGTTGTGGATCACAGCGAGTGACAGGAAATAAGATGCTATCTAGAACTTTAGTCTGTGTCCCCTGGTTCAGACATTGTTGTGCTACTATTGTTTTGAAGTGTGATTTATTGCAGTGTCTGAACTGTTGATATAAAATGGATAGTTGTGGTCCTCAGTGGCTGCATCAGGTTTGGATCTCTTCTCATTTCCCTAATTAACACAAACTTGCGTCAGAGGTCTTGGTGGATTTAAAGATCAATGCCCAATCCAAATAGCACCTCAACTGTTGCTCTTGCTTAACAAAGAATCCAAGAGAATTACCTACTTTTAAAATAGTATGTTGGTGAATGGAATAATATTTAATTATTCAATTATTCTAATAGCATAAAATTATTTAATTATAGATGATTATTAATCACCACTTTTCTACTGATTAATGATTCATCAGTTGAAAAACAACTGTACTGTTTTTTGCATTTCTATTTAGACTACATTTCTGCTCCTTTTCTCATATACTATTCTGTGTGTGAATGGGTGGGGTTTTCCTGGGGGTCCTGTGTTGCCAAAGATTTATTTTCATTTAAGCATATTTTGAAATCAGCTAAGGTAATGCACTACAATTAACATCATTCTCAGTTTTATTTTCTAAGGTTTGTGTTCATGTTTTCATGTACTGGTGGTAAACTATAACCCAACAAGAGCACAACATTCATATGCCTCTTTATGTTGTGTGAAAAACATTCTTAGATGACATGGATAATATACACTTCCCTATTTTGTTGCATTACATAATGAAGGCAAGATATGTTTGATCATCATGTGAGGAGATCATTCCCTCCTTTCATTCACATTACCATGCAATTGTAAAAAACATTATGTTCACTGCTATTATGAAACACATTTAGCTATAGCCAAGATGGTTCAAAAGAATGAAAGAAAAATGAAATTTTTTAAAATTAAAATAAAACTGTGGTGTGCTTTGGAAAAGGTTCACCATGATGTAAAGCCCATTTCATATGTATTAAACTGGCAAAATGACACTGGCATGTATATATGTTTAATATATAACATATACACACATAGATACCAATTTCTCCTTGCCAGTTTGTAAAGGTAATAAGCCACTCCGCAATGATTTACAGTTATATTAGAGCAGCTTTTAGTATTATACTTTATGCCTCTCAAATGTTTGAAAAGTAACCATAAATCACTGCCTCTCAGGGTATAGTGCTTAGTTGTGAACATCAGGGTTTGTTTCATGAGGTAATGATTTGAGGATGTCCTCTTTTCCTGTTTCCCCTGCAGATTAAACCCTTAGCCCTACGTCCGGTCAAAGTCAGCGAGGACGAGACAGTGCAGGAGCTCAGCCGACCGCACAGGAGCAACTCCAAGGAGCAGCTTAGCGAGGTGAGTCCTTGGACAAGACCTTTCCCCTTTTCACAGCCCTCCTACAGAGAGCCAGGCTATCCACTTTCACAGGCCGAAGCAGGGGGACCCCTGAGGTGGGATATAGCGAACAGGCAGACGACAGCAACACTGAGGCTGAGATCAGAGGGCAGCTGGTGCAGTAGCTCCTGCTGTTTCCAGGTATCACCTCATAAATCCCCTGTGCGTTGGGAAAAAGGTTGGCTGGCAGCACATAGACAGGAAATGATTAGGCTGGTCACACAGCATCACCTAGTTGGCCTGGCATTATTTAAAGCATGGCGTGGTTAAATGTAGACATGACCTAACGCAGTTCAGCCAGGTGTGGGCTGACCTTGCCGACCCCAGAATGGAATGAGTTAAAAAAAACTGTTCCAATTATCGCTGCGCCGGCATCCATATGCCAGCCCATTTAGAGGATGAGTAGGTGGCAAAGGAAAATGGAGGCCAGGCATTGGTTCAGCATAAGGGATGAAATAATGCAATTTAGATACAGGCGAAGTAATGAGAATTTATGCAAAATCCCAAGCGGCTCATTTTAAATGAATGTAGAAATATGCTTCCTAACTAATGCCTGTCAAGCAGGCCTCCCAAACCTAACTAAATTCAATCAGACTGCTCATTTAGCTGACGAAAGCAGGAGGAGAGAGAGAGAGCGAGAGAGAGAGAGAGAGAAAGAAAGAAGAGGAAGGAAAATATGCAGCTTCCTTTTCCAGCAGGGGTAAAATGATGGAAAGAAAAAGATTTTAATGAACTTATTAAATACATTGTTTTAAGCTATTCAGCATTCCAATTGAAAATCCAGCCTGATGAAAAAAAAAAATCACCAGCTTAATTTTTCCCATCTTCATCCTCTTTTCTGTAAGCCTAGCTGCTCTGTTTCTCTTGTGCACTGTCCCCCCTCTTCCCCTCGTACTATTTCTCTTGAATTTGTGTAAAAGGCTGTCTTTTAATGAAAAAGTCAGGAGGAAGAGGCGGGCTTGTCAGATAAAAGACCGAAGCCGGTTGACAGCTCTGACAGGGATATACGACAAGCACCGAGTAGGGGGGGCTGGATGAGGGGGGAGGTAGAGTGAGGGTGGAAGTGGCGGTGGTTGTGGGGATGGTGGTGAGGGGCGGGGGGGCACTGTTGAAAATTGCACGCTGTAATCGCCGACGGTGTTAGATGTGGCATGTCTCTCTAATCTGCTGCCAAATAAATGGTGCACAGACGCTGATCGTTGTAGCCACGGCATCCATATCTCCCCATCTCTCTCCCTCTGCCTGTCTTTACCTTTCTCTGTCTGTCTGTCTGTGTGTCTGTCCT